GAACCGAGATATCTTCTGATAACTGAAGTAAATCATCCCAAAGTCTCTTCCGAATTTCTTCTCTAGGACTTGCATAGATAACAGTATAAAGAAAAGCTTGATGATCTGCCAATGTAACACGAACATGAATAAATTGATGGGTCTGTTTTAATGCTTGAACCTGACACCTATCATTATTCCATAGTAACCAAAGACCTCCCGTAAATCCATGAGCATCCTCCACTATTGAATTATTAAAACCCAGCTTTTTTATTATCTGTTTTGCTTTTGAACCACTTACTCGAGGTTCAAGAATAGCTGCCACCTCAATCTTATGCCTTCGAACCATCATTTGAAACGTTGATTTGAAGCACTTTTTAGCCGCCCCGCGGCAATTCCATGTAACTAAAGACATTAATCAATGGTAATTTGGCAGGATTGTGGGTCCACTGCCATCCCATTGTCATTGCACTGAGTTTCAGATTCTGAAATCATCTCCACCTCAATATTGAGCTTATGGTTTATTGGGATATGCTTTCCTTTATCTCTACTTGGATCAGGCGCTTTTGGTTGGGACAAGCCATGATCTAAGCCGTTGATATTTTGACCATCCTTATCCACCTCCATTTGATAACAATCTTTGTTATAATCAGCAACAGTACTCCTAGCCACCATGGAATCTCCACCGCTTTTACCTCCAATGTCCTTACTATTATGAATCGCAACTTGCCTCCTCAAGTTCGTTGTATTATTGTTTGAGGTACCTCTGTCAACTATCTTCCCATTTATTTGATTTTCTTTTTCATGACCTGTCGTAATCCCACTTAACGTAAATCGGTTGGGGTGTTCCTGTAATTCAACATTAGGACGGCTTCTAGGGTTTCTGTGTTTGGACCCTTGAGATGTACTAATATCAATATTAACAGGAGGGCCCACCATATTGACGTCATTTATAACAGCATCCGGATTAGTCGCTGGGATATCATGAGTAATATCATCTTCATTAGAGCCCATTAAAGCAGCGTAACGGGAATTTGATTGATTATCAATCATAACCGGCTGATTTGATTGCGGTTGATTACTCCCTTGATTACTCCATTGATTATTCCCTTGATTACTCCCTTGATTATTCCCTTGATTATTGATTCCCTTGATTACTCCCTTGATTACTCCCTTGATTACGCCTTGATTCCCTTCGAACCGGTTCCTGCTTCCTGTTGTCCGCCATTGGAGTTTGAATTTTTGATCGACGTTGACGTTGCACCACCATCCAAGGACCTAATCCATTTTTCTGAAACTCAGCCTCATCTTTTTTCCCGTCTTGATTTTGCTGATTATCCTTTCCTTCAACTGGTATCTCAGGACAACAATCTTTACTATGTCCATAGCGCCCACAATGGAAACAAATAAGGCCTAAACCTTCATATTCTATCTGTTTAGTTGCTCCGTCCAACACATATTCACCCTTCAAAGGCTGAGCAAGATCCAGTTCCACGCAAATTCGAGCAAACTGTCCTCTTACATGCTCATTAGTTGTCTTATCGATCTTCAACATTTTACCTAGCCAGTTACCAATACGGCGGAAAAAGGCTTCATCATAATACTCCAGTGGGATACCCGGTAATCGCACCCAAGCTGCAATCTTCATCACACTTGCAGCATTTGGTCTAAAAGCTGGCTCCCAACGTCGGAGTGATAAATAATGGCCTAAAATAATCCAAGGACCACCATTTAGAGCAAAAAGAAGATCATCTTTGTTGCTAAATTGCACCACATAGAATCCATTACCTACATCTGTAACGTTAATCTTTCCAGCTCTAGCCCATAGTATTTCAATCTTCTTTTTCATGAAAGCCACTCCTGTATTCCTTCCAAGTAGTTTTACAATGAGAGCTTTTTCCCAAACCTTCAGCATTCTTGTTCTTGCTTTTCTAGTACAACCAAAATGAGTTCTACCATCTTCCTCTGTCCACATTTTAATCCCACCATAATTCACATCCTCTTCCTCCGCAGGTGCACTTTGATCAACATTTTCTTCCAAATTCCAATCCATTCCTTCCCAGTCATCTGTTTCACCATTGTGTTGCATGAGCATCTCTCGCCAATAGATCAATTGTTCAATTTCAAAAAAGTACAACAGCTTTGACATTCACCCACATGCGAAAATCTGAGATATTGTGTATTTGTATTAGTTTCTATTCTACAATGTCGGCGGTCAATGTAAATAAGTTATTTATTTTAAGTTTAAAACGATGTCATTTTGAGGCGGAAATCGAGATATTTTTATAATTATAATTTATTTCAAAGTTATAGTTATCTTTCTTATTATAATATTTTAATCTTTCAACGCAAAACGACGTCATTTTGAGAGTGAACATAGATAACTTATCTCCATTCACTATAGAAATATTAAAGCCTTTTGCAATATGAATGGATATTCTCATGTTTTAATTAACATGACCATGTCATGTGACCATATCATACGGGGAATCAGAATCATAAAAATATAGATCAATGATGATAAAAATATATATTAGAATAAGTAATTATAAAGTGCCTTGAATCCTCTCTTTTTTAAGCTAGAAGCTACTTATAAGCATAAGCTAGGCCAAACAGGTTTTGAAAAAAGCTCTTATAATGAAAAACTCTTTTTTTATAATGAAGAAAAAAGCTGAAATCTAAAAGCTCCAAGGAGGAGCTTTTTTTAAGATCTTATCTATTTTTCTTGAATTGTGTGCTTTTTTTTTTTAAATGAAGAGTTATAAAGATAGAGAGAGAAATAATTTTCTTGAAACATGTGTTTTTAAGTAATTTTTAAGCTAAATTTTTTATGCAATTATCAAACAGCTTTTAGCTTCTTTTATTAACTTTTTTTTTTTTTTAACTTTAGCTTATAAGTAACTTTTAGCTTAAAAATAAGAGGATCCAAACAGGCTCAAAATCATCACTGTTAATTCATTTTTATATGGTTAAAAATATATCACGTGATATTATCATATTAAGCAAAATATGAGAGTATCCATCTCCATCTTACAACTCTTGAGAACGATAAGAAAATTGATAACGGTTGCATTGAATTCAAAAAAGAGACAGCGCCGATGACTTTCACACATTCGTTGTATTTGAATGTGTTCTGATTTTTTTCTTCTTCTTAAAACTGTTTTGTATAATATTATGTAAAAAAAATATTTTTTGTTTTTTTGTTTTGAAAATTAAAGTCAAAACACAAAATAAACATGTTCTCTAAATTTGATTCTAAACACAAAAATAAAAAATTAATATTTCAATTTCAATTTTATAAAATTGGCATTATCAAACGTGTTTTTTTTTTTTTCTGGAAACCAAAAAATTATTTTTAAAAACAGTATTTAAACAAGAACTAAATTATAGGGTAAGTTAACTTCTTCCTCACACTGCATCCTCTTTTTACTTTGTGAATTGATTCAATATCCCAAAAAATAGAAGGAAAAAACAGCACATTCACATTTATGGAAGTGTGCTTGGGTTCCATTAAATTATTTTCTTAAAAAAAAAGTTAGTCGTATCCCTGATGCTCAAATTTTAAAACAAAATAAAACATAAGCCATCAATTTTATTCGCAAATTCTATATTAAAAAATTATAATTCAACCAAAGTTAAACAATTATATTGTAATTAATAAAAAATTAAATAAAATACTTTCAATCAATTAAATATGAAGAATTTGACTTAAAAAATATTAGTGTTAAACAATTATACTATAATTCACAATTCGTAACCATAGCTTTGTGTAAAAAAAAAAAAACTAATTCAACCAAGTTGTTCACCTTAAAGTTACACTATTCTAAAAAATAATTTTGAAAAGCAATTATACTCTACGGGTAAAAAAGTCAATAAATTGATGCGTTAAAATAAAGTAAAAAATTATTCTCATATTACATGAGATAAGTTTTCTTTCTTACATACTTTTTCGATCAAGTGATGAAGTCCACAAACTTATCTCTATAATATGAGATAACTTATCTCTTTTAACATGAGATTAATAAAATCTTAAAATAAAACTTAAAAATTACTCATGTTATATTAGAACAATTTCTTCTTCTAAAATTTTTAGCTAATTGAAAAGAGAAAAAAAAAATTTAAGTGAAACCCACGTACCCACATATTTATTATTTGTATAGAAGAAAAAAATGTTCAGAAGCCATTAACTCATAAAATAAATGGAAAGGAGGGTGCAATTTCCAAGGCACTATGTGGATCAGCAGGATTTAGTACGATGCGGGGAAAACGACAAAATAAGGTTTGCATCAGCAAAGAGTTCTGTTTAAAACTGAAGAAACGGGTAAAGAAAAGTAAAAAGGTGCAGTACAGAATTCAAGGATGCAAACACTAGTTTCCAGAGATCGACAACATTTTCTGTGCAACCAAGCAACCACACCAGCATTATTCCCGGGAAGAAAATGCATAAGGTTGACGCCATCGCTGTTCACGATGTTTGCGGAGTATGATGGTGATGATAAATAGTGCGAGAACAGAATAGAAGCAACCTGTGTATCTTCCAAAACAATAAAAAATAAAATAGAAGCAACCTGTGACACAACAACACAAGTATTTTTGTAAATAAATATGTTTTTGCTTATATAGTTGGATGATCTAAGATTGCGTTACGAAATACTCTTAATTTTTTTAGTGTGTTTGAAGGCATCTATCTATCTATACGAGTTATCAACGTCTATTTCTTCCTATTGAAGAAAAGAATAAGAATCGAGCTTCACGCATAGAGTAATTTACAAATTATCTATCTTCCCCGAATCCCCCCCCTCCCCCGATGCACTGAATTAAACAAATTGTCCAAACACAGAAGTAATAGATAATTCAAGTCAAGCAAACAACCTATAAATAACAAATACGAATAGAATCATCTTACTACAATATTATTGCGAATAAGCAACAATATATTTCTAACTTTATTTTATTCATATTAGTAAAACCCATCCCTTGCAATAAAAAGTAGAAGGGGATAGGATGACTGTTACAGTTTTACAAGCTTTGAATCCTCATTCTTTCTAGAGAATTAAAAATTTTACATCAAATAAAAAGCCGGAAAAAAAGAAAAAAAGAGTTCAAAATTTCATGGGTTTTCAAGCAATTCAGCTGCCAAACCAGTAACGACCTTAACCCCAGACTGTGAGATTTTGGGCTTGAGCTCCGGTGGCTTCCATTTTGACTCACCCAACTCGTCACGGATCGGTTCAAACTCGTCGTCAGCACCACCACGCGATGTGGTTCGCGTGTAAGGGGAGAGCCATTTTGCTCTAACGAATTCGACTTTTCTCCACGGCGGAACGTGCATGCCCTTCTTCTCCAGACTCAGCTTCGCTGCCTCCGATGCGATGGCCACGATACTCTGCAGCCGATCACACTTGCCAACGAATACGCACGGAAGGGTTTGGAGGATCGCCTTGTACGTCTTGGTCGATCGAGCAATCTCGAATTCTGATCTGAAGTCAACGTCCACTATCACCCTCTCCTTTCCGATTATCACATCAATGTATTCATAGTCTCCTAAAAATAATAAAAATAAAACTTATCAATAAAGAAATAAATATATAATAATTTTATATTTATAGAGAGAGAGAAAGTACCAGCTGGAGAGAAAGGGGTTTTTTCCCAGCGAGATTTGCAGAGTGAAGCATCGTATCCGAGAGCCAACAAACCCTCGGTAACGATCTTTCTGCAATCTTCTTTGCGCTTGCACATCGTTTTGTTATTATCAACGATCTTAGTTGTGTCCGCTAGCAAATTCCTTTCACAAACACTCGCACATGCCACCAAACCCTGTCCAAAATCGTAAGAAAACTTTTATTATCTTGTGGCGAAAAAAAAAAAAAAAACTACACGCTCAAAACGCAGTGTAATTACCTTAAGGATTTCGGAAGCTTCACCGGAGGAAGAATAGGTGGACTCGCCGAAACCACCAAGCGCGTGTGATTCGGCGTCTGAACTATCGTCGCAGTTCCCGTTGAAGAAGTTGCAGCGGTTACGTCCACTCCTGACGGAAACTGAGTGCTTCTCGTGATTCTCTTCCATGAAATTCTGCACCATTTTCGCTAGACACACCGAGCTCGGTTCGAGATCAATGGAGCCTTTGTTCGAGCCGTCCTTGCCGAAATGCTGCTCCTCCCCGGCGATCTTGTCCGCCGCTGAATTCCTGAGAACGCCGGAGAACTGGCGCTCGAAAAGCCGCTTTAAATTTAAGCGCGACTTGAGAACTGGCTTGACCGGCTCATGCCTAGTCCCCTCTGCAGCGACGTGAGAATCGATTGGTTGAATCTTCATCGTGAAAGGCATCACCGCGATGATGATGATCGCTCCAGAACTGAATCGCAAAGTCTCTCAACTCTAGGTCTCGTTCATTTCCGAAACTCGAGTTTTCAGAACATAGAACAATGTTGAAAATTAAGCTAATTAAATCTCTGAAATTCTGCGGAAGCAGAACCGGTTTTCTCAATTTCAAAATTCAAATGACGGAAAACTTTGCAGTAGTTGACTTCAAAGTTGGAACAAAAAAATTAAGCAAAATGAGAAAGATAAAAGACGAAAAAATAATAAAATAATAAATGCAATTTTGGCAAAACTGTAGACGCTGAAACCGGAGAGAGAACGAGTCTTCTTTTGTTTTATTTTCTCTGTTTATTTTATAGAGATAATTTGAGTCAGGTTTGCGAGACTAAGCATGGAATAACTTGAAAACTCTTCTAAGTAACGTCGCTTTTGCTTAGGGTTTCTACCAGATACGATTAGAGTTCCATAAAGTCAGGTTGTTCCCTAGGAAATCAAGATCAACAGCGACGGCAGGAGCATCCATAAACTCCGGCACGCGGTTGAATTTTCCGACGATTCTGGCGCCGGCGACGAGGGGAGATTGAAAGGAGAAGGTTGCTTGCTTGCTTGCTTGTTTGTTTACAAGCGCAGCGGCGGGCGGAGAGAGGATAAGGAACAAAATGAGAAGGCGTTGGACTATATATAAAGGCAACGAAGAGAGAAGAGAGAAAATGCCACGAGTAAGTCCTACGTGGCGGTTTAGAGTGCGCGGTGACGTCATGCTATGAGGGTACTGAATACCGAGAATGTCCTCCTAATTTGCGAACGACGAAGTCATTCACGATGGTGGCATGGGTTGGGACTTGCTCTTTTTGGGTGAGACAGTGCCGTGGCGCGTGACTCTGACGTGACAAATAATACCCCTGGTCTCGTGCAAAAGCAACAGTTTCATAAGGACAAAAATGATGTCCAGGAGGGTTAATAAGCTCAAGGGTAGTTTTGTCATATGAGGCATCCCTCTTCTGAACGGTGGTTGGGGTTTACGGAATGACTAAATTGCCCCTATGTCAGTAATCTTCGGTTTGGTTCAATGTCAATTTCGTGTTGATGAAGCTTTGTGCAGTTTCACGGAAAATGTGATGGTAGCGAGAGGGTGAACTTTTAAAATGTTGGAAAACAGCGAGGGGAGCGGTCGAAGGAATTTTCCTGACGTTACTCTAGGTATATTTATTCAGTATATTAAAGAGATTTATTAGTTTTATGTGAGAGAAGATGTATCCGGCCATACAAATAAACATGTAATGGGTTCCATTAAAAATAAATAAGGCTCATTATTTTTTTAAATAAGTAGGAGAAAGATATTATCTAAGGTGACATAAGACTAATAAAGCCCTAGATTAAATTAATTAAAAATAGAAGAAAATAACAAGAGTTTATGTTTCATTTTAGGAAAAAAGTATCTAATGTTACTTTGACAACTTTGTCTAATGTTCGTCAAAACGACGTCATTTTGGGGTTGAAAAATTAAAAAATTAGAATGATAAAAACTATTATAACCCTGAAATAAATTAAAATTATAAAAACACCATAATTTCCGCCCAAAACGATATCGTTTTGATGAACATTAGATAAAATAACTTTAAAAAAAAACAAACCCTTCATCTTATAATGTAATTTTTTTTGTTTCATCTAGGATTTTAAGTCGGGTCGACTAAGGTTTTAATAATTCAGTGCTCTTGGATCCGCTATACTCTTAAATCGTTTTCGATCGGTTGACTCGGCCAAATCTTAGTGACTCGATGGATCATATGAAACCCGACAAGTCAAGTTGTTTTATAAAAAAAAAAATCATTTTGTTTATGTCAAAAAAGAAGACCCTAAAATCCTAAGCTCTTAACTTCAACTATCACTCTCATTGTGCCCCATAAGCCAGTCCCAGAACCGTTCGCATGGTTGTTGCCATTGCTGGAGCGACTGTCGCCGTCACTGCTAGAGGTTGAATCGGTTGTTGGTTGTCCCAGTTAGAGGTTGAATCTATTGTTGGTTGGGACTCGTGATCGTTCAAATTGTCCCTCTTTCAGTCTCTTTTAATTTACTAAATATGATATATATGTTTAATCTCGTAATGAATATGAGTCTGCAAGTTATATTTTCTTGCACCATGTTAATGAATCCAAGTCTGAAAGTTAATGAATCTGAGAAAACATTACTTTTGCTATCATAAGAAATCCATGCTTTCAATCAGTACCGATTGGTGATAACTTGCTATTGAATCTGAGTCTGCGTTGATAACTTGATACCAATTAGTGACAAGCTTGCTATTGAATTTGAGTCTACTTTGATACCAATTGGTGATTGTTTAAGTCTTCATGTACTTGATTTATTGTTTGTTGATGTATTTATATACTTGATTTATGTTTATGCATATTTATTTTCACCGAGATGTCATCCACTGAACTTGATTCAACACCATTGTCCCAAGATATATCATCTCAAAATTCATCTAAAACTGTTATAATACGTAAGTACTGCAATAAAGCTATGATAGGAGATGAGATTAATTGGTTAAAGAATCATTTGGCAAGAGAAAAAGGGCAAGTTGTGCTATGTAAAAAATTCTCCCGCAACCACTCTATCAGGTCGCCTGAGAAGAAAGACCAACTAACGAAGCAAGCAGACAGAAGAGAGAGAGGAGGGGCATTTTGGTCCAAAAATAGTTGAAATTCTTTCCTATCACTTGAGAATCCAATTCTTAGATGGTATTTTCAATCACATTTGGCACACAAATAAAAATCCCAAAAAAATCAAATTTTTGAAAAAAATTTCACAAAGAGCATATCAAACATAGGCTAATACGATTGCCACCTTCACATTTTCATGAATCTCAAATAAAACCATCTACCAAACACTCTCATGGCATCCTAAGAATAAACATTATGCAAATATTTCTAATGAAAATATTATTACTATTAATGTGACTTTTTCTTCCCGTGATTCTTATTAAGGCTTACCTATTCTCGTGTAATATAAGAAAAAAAATCTTATGTTATAGATATATAGTGATGAGATCCACCACTTAAAAAAAATTAAAAAATAATCTGTACAATCATGGAAAGATGTGAAGAAGAAAAAAATAATCTCAATGTAACATAAATATTAATTTGAGTAAATACTCTTTTTGGTCCTTAGCAAATTTCACGATGTCCGCTTTAGTCCCTAGCAAATAAAAAAGCCCATCGTGGTCCCTACAAAATTCAAAATGGACCCATTTTAGACCTTTTAGAGACTAATATGGATCTTTTTTGAATTTATGAGGGACCATAATTTCAACTAAATGGGTCCATTTTGAATTTCTTAGGGACCACGATGAGCCTTTTTTATTTGCTAGGAACTAAAGCGAACATCGTAAAATTTGCTGAGGACCAGAATTGGTATTTACTCTCATAATTTTTTCCTTCTTGTTAATAGGGTTTTGATTTTAACCGATGTGTATTAAAATGTTATCCAATCGTCACCTATTTATATTACGTGGGTGAGTTGGTTGACCACTTAGGGAGGTGGTTATGTTACTCAATAACTCAAAGCAATGAGCTAGGCTACTAGCTAGGTATCTCACGAGAACTAGCTATTATACGCGTCGGGGTTGTGGGGGTATTGTACTAAGTTACTCATATTAGCCATGTTCAAAGTTTAAGGGCAGTGGTCCTCTTCGTATCTATATTTTTTTACTTTTCTTGTAATCATTTTTTAAGGGCAGTGGTCCTCTTCGTATGGTCATCAACGCAATTAATCATTCATATACCCTGTGAGTAAAAGTATGCTTAATACAAATCATATATATTTCCTCACATTTCTTACATTTGAAATAGTGATGAAATTATAATGTATGTATACAAAAGCATTGGTGGAATCAACGTGAAACTTTAATTTTTAATGATCAAATTAATAAAATTTTAATTTTCTAAAGAATCTAATAATATATTTTTGTGTTATCAATGTAGCAAATATTGTTCTTGTTATTTAATAAATTCTATAAAATTTATCATTAATCTTTAATAAAAAAATTTGGGTTTGATATTTGTCTTTTTAAAGAACATAGAGTTATATCATTTTAAGTGAGAGAAAGACAAAAACAATGAAAATCATGGTGAAGAAAGTGGATTTTTTTAATTTAAATTTTAAATAAAAAATAAAAATTTATATTTTTCTCTCATTTAAAATGACATAATTTCAAATCTTTTAAAAGGACAAACATTTGTCCCAATTTTTTTTTTTAAAAAATGTCTTACTATTTTGTATTCTTCTAGTTTTAATAATCCAACAAACATGTCTTTATTTCTTTTTTTAAATATAGCATATTAAAAGTTCTTTAACGGCGTCCCAAGAATAAAAAATATGCAAATATTTTTAATAAAAAATATTATTAAAATATAATTGCTATTAATGTGACTTTTTCTTCTCGTGATTACTGATTACTATTGATAGGGTTTCAATTATAATTATGTGAACTAATAGCCTATCCAACCATTACCTATTTATTATATTATGTGGGTGGGTTGGTTGACCATATAGATAGAGGTATTGTGTTACTCAATAACTCAAAGTTAATTATGAGCTAGACTACTAGCCAGGTACCTCAAGATAACTAGTTATTGGAGGGGTCATAGGGTATTATACTAAGTAACTCTGATTAGTGTTGTTCAAAGTTTAAGGTTGTTTGTCTAACATGATTCATCAATATATTTTGTACTTTACTTTTAATCATTTTTTGAGGGCAATGGTCCTCTTCATATGGTAATCAACATAATAGTCATGCATGTGCTTTGTAAGTAAAAATATGCTTAGTATAAATCAAATATTTCCTCAAATTCTTACATGTGGAATAATGGTAAAATTCTAATGAATGTATACAAAAATATTGGTGGAATCAACATGAAAACTATTGAGATATATATGAGAAGATGTACACAAATAGCGTGCGTTACTGGAATATGTAAGGGAAAGCCGTGTTCTCAAATTCAATAGTTGGGACGGTGATAGTCTGATAGATTATCAAAATGATAAAAATATGATAAAATTTAGTTAGGGGGTGAAACCAAAATTTGTATTGACACATTGCATTTAATATTTTCTTCATTAGATTTTACAAAAAAATTTAATTTTTAATTGAATTAATTAATAAAATTTTAATTACTTAAAAATCTAGCAATACTTTTTTATGTTTTCAAAATAGAAAATTTTGTATTTTTATTTAATAAATTCAATAAAGATTTGTCGTTAATCTTTAAAAAAAACTTAATTCAAATAATTTTTTCTTACTATTTTGTATTCTCCTAACAATCCAATAATCATATCTTTAATTTTTTTTTTTAAAAAATATAACATTAAAAGTTTTTTTTAATAACGATCTAAGAAAACAAAAATACAAAAAAATAAAAAATGAATTATTAAAAAGTACTTGTTATTAATGTGACTTTTCCTCTTGTAATTCCTATTAATGAGGTTTTGTCTATAAACCTTGTGCATTGATAGATTATCCAATCGTTACCTTTGTCATATCACGTTCTCCTTATTCTTTTTCAATCTTAAGTCTAAATGTATGCTAATATTTAGTCGGATATTCTTTACAAACTTATTTTTATCTCCATACATAAATTACCTTTGTCATAAATAAAGTTTTTCTTCTATATTTTTTTTAGAGAGTACTAAGATAACAAAAAATTGAATATCACAAAAGCTTAAGAACAAATAAAACACTACTTAATAGTAAAAAATAAAAATAAAATCAGACCCGGCGGGCCAACCAGCCCCGATCCGCTGCCAACCCGTTTTGACTCACAACCCAACGGCGCGGGTTGGTGGGTTGAAATATGTAACCCAACCCGCTCCGTTTTGGCTGGTTGACCCGTCGGGTTCAACCCATATTGTTACCTCTACCAGTAACAAGGAATCAGGAAAAGAGTTATTGTACCCAATATGTAATAATTAGTTAGAAAGAGATAACTAATTATTTATCATTGAACTACATTTGTTTGTCGGTTAATATGCACCATTTACCTTTGTTGTGAAGATATAAATCATAGTATTTGACACTAGGCTACAATTGGTTCTGGTTCACTTGCACCATTTAAAATATTTATTATATAATTGAGTATAAAATATAAATTTATATACATATCCGGTTCATGCGGTTGAACCAGTGATTCACTGACTCGATACCCCGACCGGGTTGATGACCGGTCCGAGTTTAATAACATTGGTTTCACACTTGAATGTGAGATTGTTGGGATATTCAAGTGTGGTGGGGTCCCACATTAGTTGATAATGAGCTAAGTGAAGTATATATAAGTGAAATGACCTATAAATCCTATGCTTTAAGATTTTAGGTTGAAACACGGTATTTGACCCACTTACTACTATTGGTGAAGTTTAGCCCTTTTAATAATACAACTTGGGGCTTATTAAAAGGTCTCTTTAAAAATTAAACCACATGCCTATTTTAAAAGGTCTGACCTTTAAGCCGAGGTTTGATTTATATTTTTAATAAAGAATACAAATATAAATGATTAAATTTTTTAAATATATAAATTTATTTTCCTTAAAATATAATAAATGTAAATTTAAATTAATTCTATAAAATATAATAAATGCGAATTAAAATAATTTCACAAAACATTCTTAAATATAAATTTGTCTTTTAAATGTCAATATAAATTAAGTGTCAATTATGTAATATATATTTAATGTAAGAGTGAAAATGAAATTTGATTTTTAAACATGATAAATAATTTAAATAAATATAGATACTGTAAAAAATTATTTTAAACTATTATATATATATATATATATATTTATGTGTGTGTCTACGCGTGAGCACATCTGCATGTATATGTGTGCGTACATTTATAAAATTTTATTTTACTTTAAATTAAATTAAAATTTAATTTTATATTAAAAAATCAATACAATTCAATTCAATTGATTGTTTTTTATTTTCTGTAACGTAATTAAATTACCAATATTTTGAATTATAATTTCAGCTATTGTACAAAGTGTATGATTGTGATTTCAGCTATTGTACAAAGTAATCATAACCTATGATATATAGAATGCGATATACTATTTTTGAAGGGTTGATAGACTATTGTATTTTGTATTTTTTAAAAACAAGATCAAACAACTTACCAAAAAAAAAGGAAAAAAGATCAAGCACGGAATTTAGCTTGTATCTAGCTAATAAACCAAGTTAGGCTTGAAATATTTTATAGAAATCTGACGTATTTAAGCTAAAGTTTAATTTTACCCGATTCATTTACCTCCTTTATAATATTCATAAAACAACATATCCTGCATTTGGGGCCATTTCCGTTGATGGGCCTACTTTGAGTTACTGAATAGGACGACGGTGGTGTTTGGGGAAGGCCCAAATCAGAAATTGAAAACATTTGAAATGCAAATTCCCACGCGCGCCCATTGTTTTTAAGAAATAGAATTTCAAAAGGGATTCCACATATAATTACATCCTCATCCACATCTACTATTTCATCCTTCTCCTTCGCTCCGCTTCTTCTGATTCTTTCACTTTTGCTTTTTGGGTAACTCTTCCTCTCTCCTTTATGTCGCCGAGTTTGTTCTATCTTTCCAACCAACATGTTTTTTTGGTTTTAATCATTACTTCTGCTTCGTCAATTCAATTGTGTTCTGTTCCTGTAGGTAAGCAATGGCGGGAAAAGGAGGGAAGGGGCTTGTGGCTGGAAAAACCACGAAAGCGAACAAGGACAAAGACAAGGATAATAAGAAAAGGCCTGTGTCTCGTTCATCCCGTGCTGGGATCCAGGTAACCCTTCTTCCCTGTCCTCTCTTTCGTGTTGGTTATTGTTCTTTGATTAGGATAGTGTTCAAATTAATACCTGATTAGCGGAACCAGATCTAACCATATATATGTTTGTTAATTGTTGGATGTAATTTGTGTTGTCCCTTCTTCATTTGAGAGGAAAAACATTGGTTCCTTATACCAAATTCCAATCTTAACTATAAAGCAAGATTTTTTTGTTTTGGTTTTGTTTTGGATTCTCTATTAGTAATAAGTGGTGGAACCAGGGAGGACCATAGGGGCAATTACCCTCTCAAATTTATATAAATCTTTATTTTAGACCCATTCAAATTTAAGAGAAAGATAACGGAGCATAAGTTTACACCCTTCAGTTTTTGAGTTTTTTCTATTTATTATTTCTGAAGAAAATTTTAGGATTTTTTTAAAATCTGATTACGTATTGATCTATTATCGTGTGTTACATTGTCCGAGATGGGGTGAATTTTGTTTCTTCTATCTCCTCTCACAAATTTTCTAACTCTGTCATTGTTAGTAATTGTTCAGATTTGTATGATATAAATTTGATTTTATGTTTTTAGGATTGTTGGAATCCTTAGTTGCATGTTTTTTAATGTTTTGCATGTGTTTGGTTGTAGTTTCCTGTGGGTCGGATTCACAGGCAGTTGAAACAAAGGATTCAAGCTAATGGGCGTGTTGGGGCAACTGCTGCTGTTTACTTGGCGTCCATTATGGAGTATCTAACTGCAGAGGTTCTGGAATTGGCTGGAAATGCAAGCAAAGATCTCAAGGTGAAAAGGATCACACCAAGGCATTTGCAACTCGCTATTAGGGGGGATGAAGAGTTGGACACCTTGATCAAAGGGACCATTGCAGGTGGTGGTGTCATCCCTCACATTCACAAGTCCTTGATCAACAAAACTTCCAAAGAATGAATGACCCCTTTTGCTCTCTCTTTTTTTTTATCATGTCTTGATCACAGTGGCAGTAGTGTAGGCTTTCTTTATCTTTTCTTTGGTATTCAGATGTTAGTATGTATAGGGTCATATTCTTATGTGATCTCTTGATTTGTTTCAACTCGTCTGTCCTACTCTTAGAATTGTAATGCTGTTGGATCCTTAACAATGCTTTGTTTTAGCTACAATATGTGACTTTGTTGTTTTTACAGCCATTTATGTCACTGATATTGGCTTGTTTTTCTTTTTTAACCTTTACAATACAAATGCTATATTTAGCTATCACTGACATTGGACTAGGCAATATCAAAACTTAATTATGTTCTTGGCACGGAATCGTGCCAAATGCTCAAAAATTTCCCATGTTCTTCTTGCCATGCTATGTTCCGGAGCTCATTTTTAATACATCAGTAATACATACTACTTTTATTCAAAATTTAACACATGTATTTAAGACCTCACTTTTCTTTATTACATGTCAGTATTGATATTTGGTGTTTGATTTTGATTGGAGGGATGTATAGAAAAATGGGTGCATCTATAGTATTGTAAAAATTTCCCATGTTTCGGCCCCTGGTGTGCATAACTTTAAATTTTATTTTGCATTTTGGGGTACTTTTAAAGCTATTGGAAATTTTTTTAAAGAGATTTATATAATCTAAAACAAATTCTTAAACTTTTTTCTATTAATTTTGAAGTAATAACAATCTCCTATATTAATTAATCCAAAGTAAAAAAATGTTGGAAATAAATCTATTTCGGTTATTAAAACTTAATGATATAAAATTTATTTCCACTCAAAAAAATCACTTGGTTATCTTTCTGTTGAAAATATTGCATAATGACAAATTAGCGCATAATTTATGTGAGTACAAGTGTACAACGCACATATTCATACCAAAATCGGAGTGAATCTTATATATCCTTTCAATGTTTCCCATCTAATTGAATTCTCCAATGACTATTATATTCACCGGATTTTTAATTCTCACACACAAGATGTTTGTTCATACTCTTTCAAGCATGCATGTCTTTTTTAACCACGCTCTCATTTATAATTAAGAAGGAAATCAATACAATATTAATTAACTCTTTCCATTAATTAAATAATTATATCATATCAATTCTAATAAGGAATATAATCTTCTATCATTAATATAGCAAATATGTCACATCAATTTTAATAGAAAAATAATCTCTAAATAATGACAAGATTTTCATCATTGGCCTTAAATGCTCTATCACATTACATTAATAATTTATCAATAATATCGGATGACCCGAGGCTCGATCCCTTATTTAATTTTCACTTATTCCATTTCTAACTAATGGGATTTCACTCACATTTGAATAATAATAAAAAAGTTAAGATGAAAAAAATTCTAAAAATCACTCAAATCTCAATTGTAAATCTGTTGTGCTTCAACTGATAAATAGAGGGATTTAAGATTTTAAATTTTGATTGGGGTCAAATTGACATTTTGTATATACATGTATATTTTATGAATATCGTTAGTATTTAAAAAGTAGAGCTTACATATATTGAGTATATAGGTACAATTGTTTAAAAAATCGTTAAAATAAATATTTGATCATGATAAAATTCCAAACGATATCAATGTGCCTAGAACTATAATTATATAATGATAGAGCATATAACAATATTAAGAATCCTAGGTTTAATAATAAAATAGTTGAATTGTAACACTCTTTTAATTATGTATTTAAATATATATATATATATACATATATATATATATATATATATATAACACTAAAAATATTTAGATTTATTTAACTTAACACTATAAGCTATAAAACAAACAGGGTTAAATATTTATTATTTTAAATGACATAATTTTGTATCATTTTTAATGAAACTACGTCATTTTGGTGTGTTTTTGATAATTTTTTTATAAAATTAGAAAAAAAAAAGTGGAAGAGAGAGAATGCAAAAACACATCAAAATAACATAATTTTATTAAAAATGACACAAAGTTATTTCATTTAAAATGATAAACACTTTTTCGAAATATTTAATAATATATATACATTTTTTGCGTTGGAACGTTATCATTGAAAATTCCGCATCAATTTTTGTGACGAAGAAGCTTGGACCAGCCGTTTGATTTGAACCAGACAAACCATGACATTCTTGTGATTTTTTATTTTTTGGATACGACATTTTTGTGATTTAGGATAAGATGATAGCAATAATTTTAATTAATGCTTTAAATTAGCGAACCTTTTGTATCTCGGTATCAATTAACTGTTTTTTTTTTTTTTTTTTTCTGGAGCCAATTAGTTGTAACTCACCTCATCATTATATGAATTTTGATTTTTGAAATAAAGTCATACTTTGTGACAAATAAAGAGGTATTGATTATGTTACCAAAAAAAAAAAAAAAAGAGGTATTGATTATACATAATTCTTACGTCGAATGAATACAAACATCATAAATATTAGACATTTAAATTAAAAAGGAAAGATCAATCTACATTTTTTATTTTTTCTATTCTATTATTTCCAAAAGTTATGATGTATCCGTAGAATATAAAAATAAAAAAATAAAAAATCCATGAAATCATGGCTATCGAATATTTTCTTTTCATATCGATACATGCAATATATTTTCCGACAATTAAAGATTTATACATTGGAGTATCTCATTATGTCAGAATTAAAAAACATTAGATATAATCACATTTATGAAATGTATAATGAGTAGTATTATGTACTATCACTAATTCGTAGTGCTGGCTTGTTCTAATATAGGAAATGATTCCTCTAGTAAGCCAACAAAAGAAGGCATCTAATATCCAAACCAACCACCTAAGACTAGAATCTGGAGCATGAACTTTGTGTGAATATGCTATTCATACACTCTTTTGTTCTTATATATGCCTCTCTTATCTCTTCCCCACTTGCTTTTAAAACAACAACCATTCCCTATTTGTCTCTCACATAAAACTCACAAATGGAATCAAATTTTTTCTCACAGAACAGGATTTCAACACCAACTTCAGCTCAGTGGAAGCTTATCAAACATAGACCAGAACATCCTTCTGTGGTTGCAGTGCTCAGAGGGTTTTCAAATGACATTAGAGAAGAAACAAGAAAAGCTAATGCCTACAAAGATAACTGGTTTGACCGCTTAGCCATAAACTATCTATCTAAAAGCGTTCAAGCAACTACAGGTTCCTACCCTTTTGTCCCTTTGTTGTATAATTCATGTCAAGGAGAAGTTCTATATTTTGAAACCTTTGCAGGACTTAGTAACAAAAAGAGTGGATATGAAAGCCTGGTTGAGGCAGCTACTATGGCAAAACAGAAATTCAATCCTATTCACCAGCCAGAGGTTGTCATTCAAGCTCTTGATAGAGCCTTCCCAAAGCCAATACTTTCATTGGTGAGTTCATTACTCATTAGTATTTTGATTTGATCTTCTTCTTTTGCTTTATCTCGTGTCTTGTGTCTGTTTTGACCACTACTTCCCTCTTCCATTTATTTGGCATTATAGAATTATAGAAAAAACCTAACATATTGTTTTCCTTCTTCCATTAAAGAAATCAGAAATTTAAGGACTTTTAGGATCACTCACTCCATTTCCACTCTATTAAAGTTTAAACAACTCAATAAGCTATTTTCCTGAGTTACTGTTTAGTCCCATGATGAATGGAAAGAAAATTCTTAAAGTTAATGTAAGAATTGCTTTTTATTTTATTTTATTTTATTTAATTAGGTCTGTGTTATTTCCTGGGAATAAGGTTTGTATGCCTTGTTCAACTTTCTGTTTTTTTGGCTTTAGTTTTACTTTTAATGCTTTAGCATTGTAATTTTCATCAATGAATATGTTGTTATGTATGACAAATGGCAGATAAGGACACTGCTACCACCATCTAAATTCACAAGGGAAATTTTTGCTGCTTTCACCACTTTGTTCTTTGCTTGGTTAGTTGGGCCCTCCGAGGTATACAACTGAGACTGTATTCTGTAGTTGAATAGTTTGTATTGTTCATGATTTGCTAAATTACTTGGATGGTATTTTTCGTTGTAAACTAAAAGAAACAACATTCATAGACCCTCACAAGGGAAGCTCAAAGTAAATCGGATAAACTATGCCTTCCACTAGTTATAAGACTAAAATTTACGATATGCTTGTTGGTGATAACTGATGAGTCTAGTGACTAAATGGAGTCCACTTAAGTCTCATGTTGACAAAAACAAATCATTATTGAAAATGATTAGAAAACTGAAAATGGTTACTGTAACTTGCAAGTCAGAAATTATATTAGCAAACTTCAACGCCGGTCTTGTCCCTACACTAATGATCATGAGAGACACAAAATTTATAAAAATGCAAAAGATTTCTGACCCCATATAACAGAAAAGTGATGAGAAAGATACTTGCATGTTAGTAGATTAGTTGTAAATAGGATTAGTTTGGAACATTGTCAGTCATCCCCCCCCTCCCCACACACTAACTAGTCTCTACAATTAGCGTACAATGTCATCCTTACATCGTGCCCCATTTCAATTTCATTAGCAGAATTGTTGATCAAAATCATCATGTTGAATCCTTGTTAAGACAATTCAAAATGGATATTAACTACTAAGTATTGTGTATTATTTTTTAAGTTATAAAGATTTATTTAAAAATTGTTAAAAAGTACATAAAGTTGCGCTTTACAAATAAATAATCTAATTAACCCATGTATGGTGGCATCATTTTACTTTCCAACCTATGATTTTAAAAATGAATTCAAAAGGATTAACCTCATTAACTTCACCATGAAAAGGTAAGAGAATCGGAGGTCAACGGGAGAAGAGAAAAAAATGTAGTCTACATCAGAAAATGCAGGTCAGTTTAATTTTTTTTATTTATTTCATTTATGCTTTACATCTTTAACAGAAAATGGACCCCAATTCACCCACCTAAGACACATTCTGGCCACGCACAATCTGATACTATGATTATGCTTCTCCCACATTCCATTCTCTATCCCATCATGTTTATCATGATTACCATCAAGTTTATTGTCAATGCCATAATCATGATTATTATATAATCATTTCACCCAAGTAACCTAACATCTCTCTTTCCTTCTTTTGAATTTGTTATGATAACATTATGTTCAGATTTTTAGAGGAGACAAATTGTGCAGGGATGTGTATTAATCTCTGCAAAATGCCATCTCAATCATTTATAAAGGACTCTCTGGGTATGCCACTCAACATGGTCCCCAGTAAGTATCCTCAGCAACTATTTGCATGAGCACATTTCCATGTTCCTACTTTTTCAGGCACCAATTTATTTCAACCAGTTTGTTGCTGCAGAACTTCTATTTGATATTATAATGGAAACCCAATTTGAGAGTACTTGTTTAATTAATATGACATGAACTTCTATTTGATATTATAATGGCAAAATGTCATTTGTTTTACTCCAAAAAACTAAACTTAAATGGAAAAGGTCGATGGTGCTAAAAAGTCTATCTAAGATTATCTTTTTTTAGTAAGCCCACCAAAAAATATGAACAAAAGAAAGAATTTTTGTACTTGAAAGAGTATCATGGACCTCTACAAGCATCCACTAGATTGTGGTGGTAAGCCTCATCATGTGAATGGAGGACCCCATATGCATATACCACTCAGGTGCAAAATTGCAAATAGACCCATCCAAGCTGTGTTGAGGCTTGAGAAAACCAGAGTACAGATATATGAAATATGCATTGCAAGCTTTTGGTAAAGAAATTACACCTAAATAATAACCATAGGTTAATAGATAGTGTCATTTCCTTGAATGACATCTTGATTTTCATGAAACAACCATTAAATTAGGTTATGTTGACCTAAAGCATTACATGAGCCATTTCTGAATGTTGTTTACTTGCTGAAATGTAGAGGACCTTCCTATGAATATGATTAAATAGAATATCAATATCTCCCAATAATTGATATATCCAATCTGATTATTTTATTTATCTTTTGGATTACAGATTTTGATGACATGAGTTGTGAGATGATATTTGGGCAGGATCCTCCAGCATCAAATGATGATCCAGCTTTGAAGCAACCATGCTATAAACTATGTAATTACTTTATTGCAAGGTTGCTTACATTTATTTACATGCCAATTTTATCTTTTCAACAACTAGCAAACTACAAAATGAAGAAAAAAATCCTCCAGATCATTACACCTCCAGATCTTTTCAACAACTATCAGATTTTAATTAGGTCTTCCAAGTGTCAGATTGATTTATGATACTTCAAAAGTGGCATAACTGCATAAGTAAAAGACTATAACATATTCCAGAAAGTAGAATATAACTAACATTGTATGTTCATCTATCATGCAGGCAAGGCAAAGCAAGGAACGAACTGCCTCAGTTAATGCAGAGGGTATGGATGGAAGAAGTGATTTTAGAACATCATTCTATACTAACCACTAATGGTGACAGGAATATACTTTGTTGAATCAATATTGATTAGTGACAACAACCTAAATGAATATTGTCATACACTAGCCAAATTTTGATTTGAAATCAATATTTATTAGTGAAAACAACCTAAATGAATAACTCTCCCTCCCCTTCTCCAAAAAGAAGATTGAATTCTGAATTGAAAAGTCAAACAAATTTGACAAACTGCTTATTTTCAATTTTTTTGAGGCTGGGAATTACCTATGGGATTCAGCAACTTATTCAAACTGGAGGAGAGTGATACTTTGGAAAAGTTCTTTACTATGTAGTAAGGATTGGATTGGGAATGACATCATCATTGTCCTTTATTTCAGATTGCAAAACCAATTAGTTTCCTTTTTTTGAGGAGAAGTGGTTTGACTTAGGATTTGTTGTAGGCTTTCAGGTCAGCAAGGATGGAACAAGAGTGTCTCCCACATTGTGTATCCTGCCAAAGCTCAAACACATCAGCCATAGTTTCTCTCATTAACAAAACAATGAAGTGCTCCAACGCACTTCGAACCAATCATTTGCAAGTGGATTTCCATCATTTTAGTAGTTTGAAAGTTTTTTCTCTTAGGCTTTCAAATATGTAAAAGCAGAAGTGGCCAACAGGCCAAATGTTTTATATGATAGAAGGCAAGTATTTCCAATGTTTTCAGCCCTTTCCCTATCATGTCATATTATTTATAGCACAGGATGAAAGTTTCAATAGAGAATTCTAGCTAAGCAAAGGACACTCTTTCCCCCTGAAACATTTTCATCAAGACTTGGACTCTTGGATAGAGAAACTCCATGTATCCACTAGACCCTTTAGTTAAACGAGAGGAACTTTGATCATTGGCCACATAAAAATATGCTGTAAAACATAAATTACTAGTAATACCGTGCTAATCATGGAAAAAAATCATTTCAACACAAAAACTTAAACGGTTTGATGTAGATTCTTTTATGCTCGTAACACTAACAGAGTCTCCCATATCATATAAAGAACTAATGTCTTCCATATTATATAAAGAATTAATTCAACACAAAAATTTAAATTATTAGACGAATGTCACATTTAACTATAATAATAGTAATTTACACACCTCGCCTGAATAGTGAATACCAATGCCTTGCATCAGATTGATGTAATTGGCATCTATAATATATTGACCCGTCCATTATGGAAAATTAGACATGTGGATGGAGCTTAGGAGTGGGTGTGCCTGCTTATAATGCAAGAAAACCATCGAATAATACAATAATAGTATATTGCCGACAATTTGTTTTGTTGGTTACAATGTAATTTAGCGACCGTGGAATAATCCATGCAATCAGTAAAAGCAAAAGATACATTAGAAAACGTTTTTTTATTGAGTTTTTGGGATAATAGTGGATTAATGATAGTCATAATTAAAGAAAAATAGTTAAAATGGTAATCAAAATAGAACACGTAACCATATGATGAACGGTATGAATTGTGTTTTAGTATGAATGTTTGAAGTGAAGAGTGTATTATAAAAATTGAGGAGTGAGGAATAAAAATGAGAATGGTCACATTAGTGGGGAACTAAAATAGAATTTTTATAAAGAAAAATTCTTATATTACCAATTGAAGTTGCTGGAAGAAAATATCACGTGTGAGAAGTAGTGAGAAATTTGTGTCGTGTTATTTTATCATTAATGTTTTGACGAGGAGGAGTAAACGAGAAATGATTACTTTCCTGTTGCCTAATGTAAACAAGCTAATCAAATATTCTAAGAGATAATTTTATTTTTTATATATACATAAAGTGTGTGAGACATATATTTTTTTTTTTTCTCTTTTCTCTTCATATGAACCTCACAAATTTGTATGTGTATGTAAGAGATAATTTTATCTCCTAAAACACGAGAAATATAAAATCCATCAAATAGATATCCTTCCCCCATAAAATAAAAAATAAAAAATTCTATTCCTCCTTAGATCTCTGAGTTACCAATTAATTTTTTTAAAGTAAGAAAAGACTTTAGAACTCAATCCAATATAAAACTTATCTCAAAGATTTTCTCTTTTTTGGTTTTTGTTTTTTCTACCTTTCAATTTATGCTTCTATGAGCTTTTTTTTCCCCTATAAGTATAAATTGAACAATTTGACCCGTATCCTTTTCTCACGTTAATCACGAAAATTCCATCTTAGACCCACATAACGGACAAGAAAACTTAATTGTTATGCACATAATTGTTTTTGCCTATTAAAAAATGTCCATTTAAAATTATATTTTATATATTTGTATCATTTAGTGCATTTGGATGCTCTTTCACTTCTTTATGAAGAGATTTGATCTGGAATAATAATATAAGACCCATGTTGACTTCATCATGAAGAAAAAGATTTCAGTTAACAGAGACTCTATGCAAACTTCACTATCAAGATACCTCCGCAAATCTTATCTCAGCCAACTACGTAAGAACCAATTGGAAAGCTTGCTGCCTCACCACTTGCAAGCAACTTGGAGGGACATCTCCCAAAGCTGGTCGTCTCTTCTTTACACATTTTCTTCTACATGAAAAACCTGCTTATACAAAATCTGATTTGAGTCTCAGAGTGTCTTTGTGTCTTTGACGTACATCCCCATATTATTCCAATGAAGACCCATGGATTAAACTACATTAAATCATTTATGTAGAGGAAGATCATATAATTAGCCTAAATAAAAATGTTTCTGATCAAGATTCTTATTTATACTCAATGAAAAACTTTCCTCTAACCTCCAAAGGTGAAGGAGGATGAAGGAAACGTCTTCTAATTTTGAAGCTGTAATATTACAAAAGCCCAGTGTCTTTTTGAGCCCAACACACTTTGGTTCAATCAAAGCCCACAATACCAAAATATAGGCCATCGATTGTTCTATGGATGATTTCATACATTCCTTTTCCCCATAGGGTTATGAAGATGTAACTTGGCCCAGCATTGTCCGTGGCAAGCCAGTAGCCCAATAACCAGTTTTCATCTTATTTTTCTCTATTTGTCATTTTTCATTGCGGCTTTGAATTAAGATTGACCCCCCTTTAAGTATGTTTATTTAGAACATTTTAAGCATTCTATCATAAATAAAATTTCTTGAAATTCTCTTCACCTTTTACTTCTTTTCATGTGTAATCACTTCATCATCCTCCAACATTAATCTAAACCAAATGAGATTTGTACTTACTCTATCACCCTAAGAAAAGCCCGTGCTACTTTCTTCAATTATTGTACCATATTAATTTTTGTGCAATGTTCTTTCTTACATTTTTGGCCATTCATTTTCACAATTCGCAAAAAAAAATACACCAAATGTTACCTTGACAAACGAGTTATACAAATGCAAACTGCAAAGCAAAGGAACCACTTCCCAAGCTTTGCTCAATAATGAGCACATATTGACAAGTTCATATATCATACGGCTAAGGACCCCAAAGAAGGAGACAAAGGCCTGTGTAGACAACAGTAGCAAATGGCCATTGCAACCAATGTAGACAAGAAAGGGACATATTTAATGAGTGTACTTGAGCAAGGGCATGTGCCTCTGCCATTTTACTCGTCCGCGTCTCATATACACATGCATTTATCTATAACGAACGAACCCCATTTTCCTCTAGTTTGAAAATTTAGTTTCTTTCTTTTCTGAAGATAGATAACATATCTCTAACTAAGAAACCTACCACATGAACATGTAGTTGAGGAATGAAAGGAAGGACAATAGACAGAGAACCTGAATCGTTGGACTTGGATGGGCCTACCCAGTGGCAAAAAGGTCAATGCATGGCGAGAGATATGGGCCAAGAGGCCCACTACGGAGGAAATAAAGGAAAAGGGTAATAAGGTGGAGGCTCCCTCACCTGGAAGAAGAAAAAGGCTGCTACCAAGTCCCATCCAAATCACATCCCCACTAAGACTGAACCTGTGCTTCATAATAATAGTGCGCATTTCTTGGTGAAGGGCATGCTGTAGCATATAATGATCGAATGCAGAAACGAATAACTTCGAAGTTGTACCTATCCTACTATAATTGAGGGAGAAAAAAAAAATATGGGATATGAGTGGAAATAAATATAAAGGTAAGGGTAATATAAAAGTGTTATTTTTTATTATATTTGATAAAAAAAGCACCGAGTACTCTGTGGTATTGGAGCGCATAAACTTTTCTCTAATTGAGGATGGAAAAAGGAGAATGATAACAGTAGGAATTATTGTTCCTGCATCTAGTACTTCTTCTCATTGTATATATCTATCTACATTGAGATGTTAGAACCAACTAAAGAATGATTTAATTTTGAGATAGGTTATTTTATATATTTATTTTTTTATTTACCTTTGCCTATCACTCTCCAATATCATTAGATCAGTTGATTATGATACAATGATGTTGGAGAGTGGTAGGCAAAAATAGACAAAAAAAGAAGTAGATAAAATAATCTGTCCTTTTAATTTTATTAAAGTGTGTTTGAAATCTTTAAAAGTAGAAAATGATTTAATTTTATTTGGAACGAAAAATTCTATATTTAGAAACCATTATAAAAGAAGGGAATTCGAATTAATTCAAAAGTCAGTTTTTTTTTTTTTTTCATTAACATCACAACAGGTTGATATGTTAATCTGAACATGTGTGAGTGGAGTGGCAGAGCAAGTCATTCCGGAGTATTTGAACATGTAGTTGAGTCAGTTAACAAAGACAGGGGGGGTAGGGTATGTTGAGACATAGAGGACCCAAGCTCTCAATACCTCCTTATCCACGCTTGTCAATTGTCATGGCAATTCCCAATCGAAAAATAGGCATTAAAGGAGTTTTAATACCGAATTAATTGGTGTGTCTCCTAGTAAGCGTGATGTCCGTAAAAGAAACAACATTATTCTTCAATTAATCGGTATTGAACTGTCAAAATAAAATAAATAATTGTTGTTGGTGGTAGTTGTGGCAATAATAACGGTGGCACTGGGAATGATGTTATGAATGGTAAGGTGGCGAGGATGGTGGGGGATAACTTCAACAATGACTTTGGTGACAGTGATGCAGATAACAGCAATATGGCAATATGGAGCAATTACTAGTGGTGAAAATAGGTTAGGATAGATTAGACTTTTACTTAAATAAGTCATGTTTGTGTAAAAAAAAATTTAGTGTGAACCTTGTGTAGGCCTAAATTACAATTATGACTTGACTTATACTTAAAAAATTAAAGCCTTGCTTAGGCATGTTAGCATGTTTAAACCTATTAAATATTCAATTATTAAAAAAATAACTAAAATAATAATTTTATTTATTTCATTTAAAATAAATAATATAATATACGCAACCTATAGGCTTATAGGCTCGATATATATGAAAAAGTCTATGACCTGCTTTATAAATAGGTTTTTTAAAAAATATAGGCTTGTTCTATTTGACTATTTATAATAGGTCAATATTGACCTAATATAAGTGAGGTCGTAGGTTCCTATAAGTCGACCTAGCTCATTTACACCCCTAATGATGTCGGATGATAATAGAGGATACCCATTTTCTTTATTAATAATAATAATGGGAATATATTACTGGTTGAAGATGATAGTAAATAAAATGTTTAGTAAATGAAATGTAATTATATATGATTCTTTCAAACTTATCAATTATAATAATGAGAATGAATATTCTTGGTTTAATTATGGAAATGAATGTCTATTCCTTTTTAATAATGACATCCAAACATACTAACATTTATTCTACACCATTTCTAATTAACCAAATGTGACTTTTTTTTTTAAAAGATTATTAAATATCCTCATACTCTATTCTAAATTTGTAATCATTTTCCAGGCATTAATGATAAACTAAATATCATTTTCTATACAAATCTTTAAAAATAAGAAACAAAACAAAACAAAGTGAAGTTTTTATAATTATTAATAAAAACAAAAAACAAAAACATTTTTACGAATTAAATACATCCTACTTTGTCCATGTGGAATGCATTTTCAATTGTATTAGGAGTTTTTTTGCCGTGATTGTAACAACGCTTTTAAAAGTGAAAAGCATTCTAGCTTTTTAAAGAGTGCCACTATATCTCAGTAATCCCATGTTTTTGTTGAGGTGTTTGTTCACCAGAACCACAAAGCTTCAAAAGTAGAAATTCAATGTTTAAATAAGTAAAAAATTGTCTCCAAATAATCTATTTAAGACTTTTTGTCGTATGAAAGATATATTATCGTGTCATAATCAAACAATCATTGTCTAAAATAAAAACCGCTAAATAATTTCATTGTCTAATAACTCAGTATGTATTTTATTATTTCTTACGGCTTACGGCGTACCAAAAAATCATTTAGTCTGTTTCTTGAAGTGGGCACCAAAAAGGTCTTCACACTAGTTCTAAAATTTGCCAATTGATTTGCTTTGCTAGTTCATCTTTGATTCAAAGATTGCTGACGCTTCGTCCACGCCTTTTATTTCGTGCCCCCACTAGTTTTGCTCGCGAGTTGGTAACAAAAATGATTAGTGCTGAAATATCAGGCTTGAGATCTTACTCATTGACATTTCCATCCTTCTAACCACTCACCAGTCCCCACATTGTAATCATCAAACATTTTATATTCCTAAACTAATGGAAATCTTCATTGTTAAACTTGCCTGGATTTCAGGTTTAAAACTCCCGACTCCACCAAACAAAACATTAGAGAGTAGTGAGTAGAGAGTAGAGTACTACTTAGAAAGGAGCGTAAAACATGCCTCTGCAAGTTGCTAGCAAACAAAGTTAAAGAAGCGAGCGAGCGAAAAATGTGAACAAAGCAACCTCCTTATTTTCATGTGTTATTTGTTCACTTCGCTTTCCTTTTCCTTTTTGTTTTGTTTTGTTTTTTTTTTCCTTTCGCTCCCTAATTCTAGTTTCAAAACACCAACTTCCTACGAAGCGCCGCGATTTTATTACGTTGTCTTTGTCCCTTAAACGACGCGAGATCTCGAATGGTTTCGACGATGAGATCTTTGAATACGGAGCGTTCGATGTCCAGCACTACATCCCCCATCTCCACGGGGCATTCTCCCCATTCATTCATGGTGGCGTCCTCCGCCATGTCCTTCCTCAACACACCGCATATCACCGCGAACAGGTCCTCCGACTCCTCCCTATCTCGGATCCTCCGAAACTCCGACCAGATCCGACGCAACAGCTGCGTGTTCTCCGCCCAGGAAACCGCCTTCCACGGCGGAAAACGCCGGTTCCGGTCGAGGATCTCGTGAATGGTGTCGAAGATCAACCGTCTTTGGAAAGTGGAGCTCCTGGAGGTGTCGTTCCCCTTGAGGTACTGCCGCTTCTCCAGTAACAGAAAAAGGTCGCTGTCTGCCAGCAAGTAATTAGAAGCATGCAGTATTTCCGAAACATAAACGAAATCGCTATCCTCGGACATGGCTTCGCTGCAACACCAAGCTGCACTCCACACATCATCTTCTGACTCCGCTGCTTGATCTGCAATTTCACCCAACTCACTCATTAATATCAAGAAAAAAAGAAGAAGATTCCTACACTGTTCGTATATTCCTTTTTGTCACTATCTGTCTATCAACTGTCGACCACCCTCGCCACACACAATATTGCTTATTTCAATTTCGTACTAAGGGGACAGTTAATTTTTTTAAATTTTTTTTAATTTTGTTGATTGTGATTATTTAACACAAACAGTGAATACGGGTGAATTGAAGTATTGGTTTATTTCTGAGTTCTCGTGTTAAGTGAGAACTTTAATAATAATTTATATTATTTTTCTGCAAGTAGTGAAATGAAAAAGATCTTGGCTCAATATTCACATACCACATGAAAATGAACAAGAACTTAAAATCTTTATCCCACTCGTCTCTCGCACTTTAAATTAGTCTCAAAACCGATCTCACAAAAGTAAGTAGGGTATGTTCGAAGAAAAAAAAATTGCGAATAAATCTTTAATTGAATGAGAAGATTTAATGTATCTATCATTTCTTCAGTGATATTTGTACAAAAAAATATAATATCATCTGATCAATTATTATTTAATTGTTTTTAAATAATAAGATATTTTTATCCACTATCACAAAATTACAAAAAAATTTATTCTCGACTAGGGAGTCCAGAGACACTAGTATCGAAACATAAAGGTCGCATTACCGATGATGGCCATCACCCCCACGTGATTGTACAAGTAAACTTTTGACGTAGTCAATGAACCAACCAAATTCATAGCCCCTAGTATCAAATGATTGGTCCACGTAGGATGGGATGCGATTTTCACCACCACTGGCACTTGGCACTGGAGGAGATGAAAATTCTTAATTCTCCCGAGGAGTATAGTAAATAGGGGAGTGAGGACAAAGCATCAACTGTCCAGCAACAGTAAATGGTGTTGTGAAGGAAAGGAAAGAACAAGTGGGTGCTTAAAAGGCCTAAACATGCCTACCCCAAACTTACCTATCAAGACGTCACCACCAATATTAAATTCCTCTGACTAAAACCACAACCTAATGCTAGCGAGTGCCCAAGCAATGATTATGACTTATGTCTGTACGAGTATAATAATAAAACCACTGTGTTGTTCACTGACCTTTGTAATCAATGCACCGTTTCATTACCGGGGATGGTGAGTTCGACGACTCGTCCTTGTAAAACGACGAGTCAAGTACCGATACTGGACTCGGTTGTTGCTCCGCCGCTGCCGTCATTTCCGCTATGCTGTTCAGCAGCTCATCACACCTCTGCAACAGATTCTTCCCTTCCCTGTATTCCTCCATCTTAAACCTCTGAAACGCAAACAAAATTCATCTCATTCTCATTATAAAATTTAGGTCTTGGTTTTATATTGTAAATGAAATCTCGCGGTTAGATTTACACAGCTATAAAAGGTAAAACTCTTCACAAATCTAGTATGAATCCAAAGTTTTTACCTTTATCAATATAGGAAGATCGATATCGTATAATAGTACATAAGGTAATTTGATTATTAATATGTTCCAAATATATATATATATATAAAACTTTATTTATTTTGTAATGAACTTGAAATATAAAAAATAAATAAAAGGAGTCTAGTTTTGCATACCTCTGTATCGGTGTATGAAGAAATGCTGAAGCTGCTTTCTGAAACGTTGGATGATTCATCCTCTGCCATAACCATCAACTTCTCCTCCTTTTGATAAGTGACCGCTTTTCTCATCCTCGGCGATCTACTTGTTACTTGCTGACCAGGTCCATTGCTTCTCGAGTTTAACTTGGATGAATGAACCGGAGTATGAGAAACTCCGGTTCTGGGTTCAACACCATCATTCACTTTCCTCATCCGGTTCGGGCTGCGCGTGGGCGAGTTCACATTTCTGCCTCTGGCATTTCGATCTGTTTCCGGTCTAGCAGGAAGGGTTTCGTTGTTGCGGCGAGCTCGAGGTCCTGGTTGAGAATCATTTCCGGTTCGATTAAACAAACCGGAAGATCTTGCGGGCTTCATAACAACAATGGGAGAATCGTTCCCGGATATGGTTCCGTCGAAGACGAAGTTCCTGTGGTTGGTTTGAGTTACGGATTTATTGGAATGCAAAAGGCCCTTGAGCTGCAAGGCCTCGAGGATTTGCTTCATAGTGTCGAGATCCTTGGAAGGTTCATCGATCCCTCGCAGCTTCGTTTCTCCGTACACAGAAACACTGTGCTTCGGGTCTGGGAAAAAGTCAGCGGAATCGTAGAAACTCTTCTTTTGTCTTATTCCCCTTGCAGGCTCTGCTTTCGCGTTTGGATCTGAGGCTCTGCCATTATTATTATCAACATGCTGTTGCTTTAACTGGAAGTTGTTGGTGGTGTCGAAGAAACGATACTGTTGGGGTAGATCTCTGGAAACCCTGGATTCGGAAGCGGATCTTCGTAGCTGAGGATCCGAATCCTCAAGCCCCATGAGCCTTGCAACGACACTGGTGGTGGATCGCCGCTGCAGTTGCTGCTGCTTATCCGCCTCTCTCGGGTGGAAGGTTCCTTTGGCATCCACAACTGCTCTGCTATCCAACGATAGTCTCGGAGATTCTCTGGAGAACTTCCAGGAAGACCTCGTTCCTTCATTGAATTGCAAAACTGGAAGTGGAAGAAGAGGAGACAACTTTACAGCTTGAGTTTTTTCTATCTCTGTCTCCGGTGATGATGATTCCGCCGGAGATCCATCGCATATGTCTGTTTCAGGCGACGAATGAGTTTCCTAAAAAAGAAAGACACGAAATGGTCAAATAAGGAAAGAGCACAAGAGTGAAATGGACATAAATTAAATGAATTACTAGTTCGTTACCGGAGGCGGAGAAGGAGGGAGCCTTTTGGGCGAGTAGATGCGTTTTCCGGCGATCATCTGGTGGTGACGATCGAAGATTTGAAGGAAACCTGTCATGCATCCCATCTGCTTCTTAATGTGTTTTTCCAAGTTCTCCTTCGTCATTTTCACACACACACTCTCTCTCTCTCTTGATTTGTCTATCACAGTGAAGCCTTCATTTTCAGTTTTTTGACGTTCCCCTTCTCTCTTGTGCCTCTCAACACTAAACTGCTCGTCCTTTTTAACTTAGACTCCCGCTTTTCTCGTCTTTAAATGCCACGCCGGTTGTGTTGGGAAATCATCATTTTGCCCCTTCACTTTTCTCCAAATTCCAACCGGGTAAAGCTAACGGCAAAAAAGGAAATAATTATAATTTTTACATCAAACTTTTGGTTTTCGGCTTGCACACAGAACTGAGCGCCAAGATATTTTTGATATTACGAGAATATATCGATTATTTGGTACTTTTTATCAAATATAAAAAAAAATTATACTATCCTTAATTCCTTGTTGTTATAATTATTTTTTTAATAAAAAAAGACCTATTCTCGTTGCATCTAAAATGTGCTTGGTGAGCGCACGTTTATAACTTTTACTTGAACCACATGCACTGCAGCACAGTTACCGTGGGTGATGCTCTCTGCCTACGTGCCACTGAACTTAATAAAAAAATGGTTATTAATATTATAAAGTGGGTTTTACTGAATTTTATTCTACAAAATATCCTAATTTTTGTATAGTGATACAATATGTATTTAATTATATAAAATGAGTCAAAAAAAAGTTTGTTTAACCAAATGATAGTAATTCTATAGATTATAGGAAACTGAAAGTAGAAAGAAGAAAGTAGACAAGAGCATGTGTTAGATTTTTTCAGTATTTAATTTTAAAATGATGAAATGATTGAAGTACTTTTTTTTCAATAACGTTGGTTTATATTTCTTTTTAAAGTAAATACATTTTTTTTGGTTCTTAGCAAATTTCACGATGCCCGCTTTAGTCCTTAGCAAATAAAAAAGCTCATCGTGGTTCTTAAGAAATTCAAAATGGACCCATTTTAGTCCTTTCAGGGACTAATATGGGTCTTTTTTGAATTTGTGAGGGACCACGATTTCAACTAAATGAGTCCATTTTAAATTTCTGAGAGACCAAAATGAGCTTTTTTATTTACTAGAGACTAAAACGGGTATGATAAAATTTGCTCTGATGACCAAAACGGTATTTACTCTTCTTTCTTATCAGACTTGAATCATTAACCCAAAAAAAGAGGGAACCGGAGGAAGTGGAAGTGGAGCAGTGAGGTGTTAGTTGAGAGAATCCAGGCCCGTTCCAAGGCAAATGGCCTCGAACAGCACAACCACAAGCGGCAGCGCACTCTTGTGTAGTATTCCACCGCTTCTTTCTCAATATAAACTTTTTTTTGTTTCTTTAATTTCAAGAAAGAAAAGCGGTGAAGCAGCCAGTAATCTCACCGCTTCACTAACACTAACGAACTTATACTTAGGAAAGCATGCCACGTAGCGGAGGAATATGTTGTGAGACGTGGGAATAAGTGCAATTCTCTCGCAGGTATTGGGACTGAATGAGAAAATCTTCGAGTGAAGAGACCAATGAGCAAATCAGAGGGCTGCCATGCCACGAAGGATTGTGTTTGGTATTAAGGACAAGCCTAACCGCTTCCATTAGGATTAGATAGAATCATAGGGTACAACGTAATATATTCCAAGTAGTCAGTGGTCACCGGTCACCCAATTACATACGCTAGATGGTATTCCCCATATTCCCCCTATTGCAAAAATTAAGCGAAATGAACAATGCTGAATTGAATGTACCTTTTGTGGGGGCTGAGATGAATTGCTTTAATCTTTAATTTAAATGCAAGTTACACATCGGTAAAAAAAGAAAGAAACAACATACAAGAAGTGAAGAACAATAATTGACGATACATGAATGACTTCATATGGTGTTTATTCCAGCAGGTGACGGATAGGCTAGGTAACCTTGGGAACACGCCATTGAGTGAAGTAAAAAAATAAAAAAAGGGTAGGGGGGAAGTAAATTAAAAGTCAAATCAGATGAATTATTTCACTGCTGTCTTCATCACATTTATTATTTACCGTTTCCTATTAATAAATTAGAAGCAATGGTTCTGCTCCGTGTGCCACACTCTTTAAATTAACGCCTTTTAAAAAAAAAATATGGATACTTTTTAAGGAAAAGGTAAAATCGGATGAGTCGCTTGGGACAATGAATATTGCCTCACTCCTTTAATGAAAATTTACTTTATTGTTACGTGTTGGCAAAATTTTTGTCAAAAATGCCATGTTACAATCTCGCTGGTCTGACAAGCGAGAATGGACTGGACACATGTTTGTGTCTGAATGGTCAACCATTCTCGCTGGACTGCCCAGTTAGAATGACAGAATGCTGACTCGTGGCAAAAGTACATGCATTCTCTGGATATCTGTACTTTTGTCACGTGTCAGCATTCTGTCATTCTAGCTGGGCAGCCCAACGAGAATGGTTGACCATTCAGACGCTGACACGTGTTCAGTCAATTCCCGCTTGTCAGACCAGCGAAATTATGACGTGTCATTTTGCAAAAAAAAATTTCAAGCATGACAATCAAGTAAAATTTTGCCCAAAAAATAATAATATGGTCATTGTCCCGAGTCGCTTCACTGCTGTCTTGATCACAATTAGGATGTGCATAATAAAATTCTATTTTCTGGTATTATTTTTGAAAAGAAATATTTTTTTTTCTATTCTTATTCTTTAAAATAAATTTTTTTTTTAAATGTTTCATAACATGTAACAATAGCAGTAGCAGAATGATGATAGATTGATAGTGGATAGTGACGGTAATGGTTACGACAATGATTGTAATGATTTTGGTGATAATAAGGGTGACAATAGTGATTGCGATGATATTATTGACAGTGGTTAGTGAAGATAGTAATAGTGATATAACGGTGGCGTGGAAGTGGCGATGGCATCTGGGCGGTGACAATAACGACGGTGGTCATACAAGATGGTAGTGGTGGTTATGATGGTAGTGGTAGAGAGTGATTGAGAGAGATAAATATTTCTTATTTTATAACCGAAAACAAAAAAAAAACAAAAATTCTTTTATTATTTTTTCTCCCACTCAGCACATAAATTGAACCGATTCATTTTTGAAAATAAAAATAAAAAATTAATTATATCAAACATTATTTCTATCCATTTATGTTTCCCAAAACAAAAATTAAAAAAAAACTGAATTTAGAAAAATTGTCATCCACAAAGTTATTATTTTCTATTACTTATTCATAAATTGGAAAGCAATGGTTCTATACTTATACTCCATCGCCGTGTGCAATGATCCAAAAATCCACACTCTTTTATTTAACTGTTGACACGTCTTGAGAAATTATGCAAATACCATTAAACAGTATAAGTGATTAAGTCTAGGATAGATTTTTATATTGTTAATTATTCGACTCACAAGGAAAAAAGCTAAAAAATATCTGATATATATCCTTTAATATATATAAATATTTAAGAAAATAGATATACTCACCACCATTAAAATTTATCATCTTTATAACCAATCTAATTATCATTTATTTTCATCAATCTAACAGTTATAATTTATTAAAAATTATTGGGTCGCTCTTACTAATTAATTATTAATTATTAATAAATTATAACGATTATATTGAAAAAAACCAACAGTGATTAGGTTGATTGTAAATGTGATAAATTTTTATGATGATAAATGTATTCTGCCCTAATATTTAAATAAATAACATAAAATTTATTATTATATATTTTATGTTATGTAATATTTAATGTAAACTGATTTATAAACATTAGATAAAATAATATAATATTTATTATTATGATATTTTAGTTTGAGTTATTTGTAACTTTAAATGACTTTATTTTGATATAACTAGTGATTTATATGACTAAAATCTTAAGATTTGTGAAAAAACCGAAAATCGATCCAGTTCAAACCTAATAAAATTGGATTGAATTGGATCTGATTTAAAAAAATCAAAATTAAATAGATGATTAAATAATCAAAAAGAAAAAACTGAATCGAATAATTTTTGTTTCAAAATCAATCCAATTCAGACAGTAAAGATCATAAATTGGTAAGTATAACCTCTCCTTTTGCGTTTAACTTAATTATATTATTGCTTCATTATACTGGGCTATATTTAGAAAAAATAATTCACGACATTTTTATTTTTAAAACGACAGACGAAATAAGTTATTTGTTTTTAAAAAAATATTATTTTAAAAGAGACCAAGAACATATTTATTATGTTTAAGCTTGATGGCATTTTTAGAATTTGTTTGTCTGGCCTTTTAAAAAAAGTAATTTTTATACTTTATTTATTTTAGAAATATTTTTTATAAAAGTTAAAACTATTTGGATTTTTAAAAAAAATATTAATTTTTGAAAAAAAAAATTACTTTTACTTTTTTTTTTTTAATTAGATATCCAAATAAACGTACAATGAGAAATATTTTTTTTTTCTTAAAAAAAATAGCTTGTCAAGAAGAGAAAAAAAAACTCATTCAAAGATACCCTTACTTACTTGATTGTAGTTTATGTGATGCCTATCTTAACATTCCAATATCCCCTGCATAAGTTATACGCAATGTACGTATGGGTATTGAGATTGACTATTAAGTAGTAACCAGTAACCAGTAACCAGTAACTACTCAATTCTCTTTTTATCACAGAGCCCGAATTAAATTCGTATATCTCCATTCTCCAACGGTACCCATATCTATTGTGGGGTGATTTATTTCACTGCTTTGCGAACACGCCATTGAATGAAATTAAGAAAAGTGTGTGTCAGAGTCAAAACGGATGAATTATTTCACTGCTGTCTTTATCACAATTATTATTTACTGTTTCTTATTAATAAATTAGATAGCAATGGTTCTGCTCCGTGTGCCATACTCTTTAAATTAACGCCCTTTTTTTATTATAAAATATGGATATTTTTAGTAAAAAGGTAATATCGAATAAGACCTTGTTAGGGAAATGAATAATTTAAGTATTAATTAATATGATCATGTTATATAAAAGAAATTTAATTATATAAAAAAATCAATAATGATAAAAGAAGATAGAGAAAATAAATAAAAATAGAAAATTATACAATTATCACCATTATTTGATTATTCATATTTAAAATCTTC